TCTCGGTCCAGAACTGAGACAGTTGGTCATTGTCTCAGTCCAGAACTGAGACGGGTCCCCAACTGAGGTACAACATACATATCGATATGGGTAAACTAATATATCTATAGACATTAATTACTCTGTGATAAAAACGTTAACCTCTTCTTCCAAGTCAAGAATTTTTAGAATGATTTTGTAATCTTTAATGAATTCAAACTGTGAAGGTACGGAGGGGATGACGTTATTCTTCCTACGTTTCTGCGTAACTCCGGCCGTGCAAGGATTTGGTCATGCGCTGTCCGTTTCATACATATACAGTGTATTGCAAAAAAAAAAAAAAAAAGGTGATAAAAAGTGTTTTCACAATTACAGAACGTATTGAGATAGATTTAAAGGTTAAGAGTTGCTTTATTGTTAAATAAAAAATTTGCAATATCTCATTATATTACCGTTTGCTGTAAATCTAATTTGCATCTTTTTTTATAGACGAAAATAATATTATGTACCATCCTCTCATAAATTGCTTCAACTCACTCCTATCTTTGGGCATTCTTTTTGAACATTACTCTTCATAAAATACCATCGAATTAAGAGACGGACTGTTGGATAGTCATTTAATTACCTTTATTTTATTTTATTTTATTTTATTTTTATTATTATTATCTTTTTTTGCAATAAAATTCTCTGCAATAGACGTGAGTTTACAAAATAGTTTGTCGTTAAGTTTCAAGCTTTGGGCAAACCATATTACTAAACTTTACGAAAGACAACCTCCTAAAATTTTGCTTATAAGAACGGGCCATAACCAAGAAATTTTTGATCAAATTTATCTTTACAAACACGTCCAATCAAAGGTAAAAAACCATTTGTTTTGTAAACAGACGCGTCAAGTTTATTTGCAGACCACCACTTTTCGTAATACATTGTATATCCAAAACGGACAACCAGATGTTGTTGAAATAACTACACAGAGCACAATCGTGATCAATAACTAAGTGCAGTGCACAGGGCGGACAAGCGGTATTTACTCACGCCCATTTTTTGTGTCCTAAAAATAGAGAAAGTGGACAACAATTTAGATATATAAGAGACTTGAATTTCCGCTAGTTTCGGTGCGTTCGCATTTTTTTGATTTTATTATTGTTATTGTTATTATTATTATCATTAATAAATAAGTAGCCTATATATATCAATTTAGAGTGATCACTTTCTGCTCGTGCGATAAATAGTTGTTTAAGTGAGAACGCGTTTGGTATAACTACGACCATACCCCGTCCTATAGATTACTGACTAAGCCCATCGGTAGAGAATAGTGAAGAAACTCGAGAATATATATTTTATCTAGGATTAACGCCTACCAAACGACGTCGAGTTGTGAGTAGTAAAAGCTTGAGTTAAAGGTCACTGACTGTTGTTACATTTAACTAAAGTAGGAAACGCCACGACTCCGCTTGAAAGGATGGTTAAATCTCAAGGGCCGACAGTTAATTTCACAAAACTCGGCAACAGAAAATCAGTCCCGCAAATAAGCTGAAAGGTCAATTATTCTAGACACACAATATATTAACGTTGCCTTTTCAATTACACCAAACTTTTCTTTGTCTTTCATAGATTTTGCAAGTTGCGAAATCTTTTTATTATTCATTCTCATCATCCCCAGCAAAAAAGTCTAGATGCGGTGGTGGACTTGGTAGGGTTATACCATTGAGAAGAACATTACCCGCATGTCTTTTGTTAATAAAAAAATTTTAGAAATGCCTTTAATTGAACTATGCATTCTCAGATGAAGATACTCACATGCTTTGTTTTTTCCTATTCATATAATTATCATCATCATAATTTGGTTGTTTGAGTGGGACAAGGAGAGACATCACACTTGGAAAATGATAATCTTTGGTCTCTTTATGCTCGTTCTTGAGTATTAATGCACATAGTTATTTCTACCAATTCTCAACTTCTACAAACGTTGTACCTTTTCCTGATCTCTTTTTTTTTGGTGCAGAAAATTCAACACCAAATGTTCCACCGTTGATAGTCCCAGCACCATTAATAGTCTCAATTTCTGCAAATGTTGGTTGATTAAGATAAACCGAGGGTTCACCAATATCTTTAGCTAATCTTTTATTCTCCTATCTCGCCATTTGACGGGACGACAAAGTCGAGTACCCTTGCACGAAATAATTAGATATTAATATTGTATATTCTCAATAAACACGCCTAATGATTTCTATCGGCTCGAAGCCTTGAACGTAAGACATGTCCGGCGAAAAGTGAAAAAAAAAATAACAATAATAATTTTTTTTAATCACGCACCCAAGATGTGGGACGCGTGCACTCCATATTTGGTAATATACATTTTCAATTACCAAAATAGTCAGGGGCGATGTACCATCTTACCCTTTAGAAGGTGTGATACCATACATGGTAATTGGTATTTCATATAGCCATTGAGATTACTTAATATTAATACAATTTCGACATTTTAACAATTATAATATTAACATCAGATCGTATCATATTCGATATGAAGCACTTCAACCTATAAAAAGATAACATATGCCTCATTCAACGTTATAAGAGCAAATATTAACCCAACGGTCAGAAGAAATACAAATACAGAATTTTTGACTAATCATTCGCCAATACCATCAATTGTCTGGTAAACTTATATTTAATATTAAACCGCAGTGGATCAATCACCCAGACTCCGTAACTTTACAGAAATGTGTGTACTCTAATTAATACCTTATTTAATGAACACCATCATTATCAAATCTGTTAGGGGTGATGAGCTAGTGACAGTGAGGGCTACCTTAGACTTAATGAATCTAGTTCTCTGCATCTTGCACTTTCATAGATGCCAATAGCACCTTCACTACTCAACTATATGTTTTGTGCCGAAAGACGGCTATAAATACGACGATCTTCACATATAGAATATACATAACCTCTTTGTACCTATTGATTGTTGCAAGAGATTATAACGCGCACACGATGTACGTCAGGAGATGCGTGTCGTGCAAGGCTACTATTAGTGATTGAAAAGGAAACGCTCGATTACATTGCTGATGACACTTAAGATCATCGCGGTAATCATGTGCAAAAAATATTAACGCCCCTGGAATTCTTATGTGGCGTTTTTTTATGCCCCAATTATTATGCTTATAAATGACTATTTCCAACTACATTCTATCTGATGACCTCCCCTTCCATTTTTGTGAAGTTGAACATTGGATCGAGACTGAGCAACAAGTATTTCACCAACTTTATTTTCAATCCAGTGATTACATCGGCTTATTACACACAATCATCGTGGTCCAGACTTGCGAGATCTCCAAGATATTTGAAACATTGGAAATTTGGGGGCAACAATCATTTGATCTGTGGAAACGCAAGGAATTTGGTTTCTATAACAATGGCTGCTGATGGAAGTAGCAAGTATTCGAACAGATTAAAGGATGAAAAAAGTCCTTATCTATTGGTGAGTGTTAGAATTCGCGGATAGTATGATCTGTAACGGGATCTTGTGGGTGATGAGACAGACTTGAACGCCCAATTCATTTACGAGAGTGGTCGGTACCAAAAGAAAAGAAAAAGATTTGCTTATATTTTATTTGAATTTACGTTCTGTATATCGAGTAGCAACATGCGGATAATCCTGGTAAGTAAATTTGAATATCTGCAGTTTTTGCTCTACATTTAACCGCCGCTAACATTTGCACATTAGTCGATTGGTATCCGTGGGGAGAGGAGGCATTCGAGAAAGCCAAGAGAGATAATATGCCTATATTTCTAAGTGTTGGATACAGCACATGCCAGTAATGAGTATTACCATGTTGATTTCCTTTCTTTCTTTGCGTACGTGAATCGGCTGTTAATGACCTTTGAAACATTTCAATTCCTATACAAAGTTGGTGTCATGTTATGGTAAGAATTATTTGAGATTGCAACGAGATGGTAAAAAAATTATATCGTATGTTCTATATCGAATTTTTTTTATGTTATGAAGGCACACGAATCATTTGAAAATGAGAAAATAGCCAAGACGATGAACGAGAACTTTGTAAACATAAAAGGTAAGGAGCAGACGGATTGACATACGGTCCAATACCCATCGAATCTGAACTGAAATTTGTTTGAAATTTTTTAGTTGATAGGTAAGAGTCATATCTGGCCAACTGTTATTCAGATGTAGATATGTCTACATCCTCATTGGAAATATTATTATTAGAGAAGTTCATCCTGATGTCGACCAAATGTATATGGTGATTATTATTATTCTTTGCCAAGCACATACATATATATATATGGTCATTGCTAACCCATTTTATCGCTTTTAGACATTTGTACAAGCAACAGCGGGTAGTGGAGGATGGCCCATGTCCGTCTTTCTTACAGTGAGTACAGGGAAAGCACTCTTATTGAATAATTCTACATGAGGCTAATTGTTCTTCATTTGTCCTAATTAGCCTGAACTATACCGTAAGTAATTATGCATTCAATCGCGTAATAAGCGACGCGCTTTATTTATCCACGGCCTTATCTTATCAACTATAGCTATTTTTGGAGGAACATATTTTCCGCCAGAAGACAAAGACGAAAGGTGAGCCTAACATTGAACTATTGATATCGCAGTATGTTATTAAGATAATATCAACTTACATCATATTCACAATAGGCCAGGATTTCACAGTCTACTGCGTCGCATAGCGCAACTGTAAGGATGTGGTTTTGGCATTTATTGAGTTTGCTTGGCGTAATTAACTTGATGATAACTGATACCATTTCTATTTTTATTGTAGGTGGCGAGAACAACCGAGCGCATTGAGGCGTTCGGGGGAGAATGTCATCTCACAACTACGCGACTCCATAGTCAGTATTATGTTAACATGAATGCAAACTGTTATTGTTCTGATGGTTAAAATTCTCCAATCAACGACATTTTTCTGATAGTCTACGATGGAAAGTGGAAGTACAAGTAGTCTGAACATGCAGGCAGCCCACAAGTGTTATGAATACTTTGCACAAACATTTGACACTGTTGAGGGAGGATTCGGCGGTAAACGTTCAAGCAATAAGATTACCGAACACTGGATTAACGCCAAATGCGTGAATTAGTGATTCAGTTGCTATTGTATTTTTTAATAACGGAGCTTGTAATTATCTTCATGCCATGTTTTTTTTTTTCAAAACCAGGTGCACCCAAGTTTCCGACTCCAGTACAATTTCATTTCCTCCTTCGCTATGCATACTATGTGCAACAAAGTCTTACACGTGTACAAACGTCATACGACGACATGACAGTATCGGAGATACGCAATCGTGGCGAACAGCTGGGAGTTGATTTTAAAGGATGCATAGAAAAAAGTGAATTCGTGGATAAATTAGAGTCGATTGTACAGAAAAAAAGGGAAGATGCCAACAAAGCTATTGATATGGTCAAGTTCACTTTAAAGGTGATTTACATAATTGAAAGGAGTGCATGTGTCGATAATTATGGGCCCTATTATTAAATGCTATAACGTGTGATATGATTAACTTTCGGAATTTTTTTTTTAGAAAATAGCGCGAGGTGGGATACACGGTAAGCGTTTATGAAAGATGGAAATTATTTATTTGTGTTATAATTTAATGCTTGACATTCAATCGATTATATCGAGAATAGATCATATCGGAAACGGATTTCATAGGTGCTCTTTCAGTCTTTTTTTTTTTTATGGTGAAATAGAGTAGAATCCGATGACTATAACAATATATTACATGCAGATATTCGACAGACAGATACTGGCACGTTCCGCATTTTGAAAAGATGGTAAGAAATATCCGTTTTTACTATTACCATAATTGCATTACGACTCTCACTTATTTGCATTTAATCCCATATCAGCTTTATGACCAAGCCCAACTGCTTATGAGTTACAGCGATGCCTACTTAATCACCAAAGAAGATTATTTCGCTGACGTAAGTTAGTAATGTTAGACCACGCGCCATCAAATGCCAACGTGTCAAAAAATTAAATCCATACATTTTCACCAGATCGCCAGAGATATTGTCAAGTATGTGGAACGAGATCTACGAGATGCCGAGAATGGTGGATTCTACTCTGCAGAAGATGCTGATTCATATTCACATGATGGGGCTCCACATAAACTGGGTAACATACATTATACCATTGCGTGCATAGTCGATGGGGGCTGCAATACTGATTTTTGATGTTGATCAATGTCAGAGGGTGCATTTGCAGTATGGGAAGAATCAGAAATTTATAATATTCTTGGCCGAGAACACGCCCAAGTGTTTCGTTATTATTTTGGTGTGGAACCTTCAGGAAATGTAGATCCAGCTAGCGATATTCAAGGTGAACTAACCGATAAGGTAATAGCGGCGAAAATACTACTATCTTTTATAATAGATTCGGCCATAAAACTAACAACGGTTTTGTATTAAAGAATGTTTTAATCGAGAAACATACGGTTGAAGAAACGGCCGAGAACTTTAACTTGACACCTGAGGAAGTCAACAAAATACTATCTATATACAAAGAGAAACTGTTCAAATATCGAGTAGAGAATAGGCCTAAACCACATCGAGATGACAAAGTACTGACTGCCTGGAATGGTAATAAATTAACTGTTTGTTATCGGCTATGTCAGATAGCACTGCATTATACCTCTAACACTTACTCATTTAAACTTTAACGTTCGCTTTTCGAATTTAGGCCTGATGATTTCAGGATTATCGAGAGCATATGATGCGATTAGAGATAAAAGATATCTTGATCTCGCCGAGTCAGCCGTAGCTTTCTTGCAGGAAAATATGTACGACAAAGAGAGGAAAGTCTTGTTGAGAAGCTATCGGGAAGGCCCAGGGAGTGTTAACGGATTTGCGGATGATTATAGGTAAGTATGCATATATTGGTTGAAAGGTTGTGAAGCTTATGAATGGGTATATTAACCCTTTTGTATATGCAAATTGTTATTTGGATGACCGCAGTTTCTTGATTCAAGGTACGTTGCGTTGATCTGCGTTAGTTATATTGAGCTTGCAGCATCAGTAATGCGGACCAATCTGCAATTCGTTCAGGGTTATTGGATCTATATGAATCTACTTTTAATGAGGACTATCTCTCCTGGGCGGTTGAGCTGCAAGATAAGCAGGATGAATTGTTCTATGACAATGAAGGGAAGGGTGGATATTTCAATGTTCCTTCGGGAGAAAAGAACGTCCTGTTGAGGATGAAAAATGGTTAGTATGACGTCAAATCCATCTTTGTTCGGAAAGGGAGTCTCAAATATTGCAAAATCCAAGGATATTATTTCTAACAATATTCATGGCTCATAACATAGAACACGATGGGGCAGAACCATCACCGTAAGCCAGCTGATTGATCGCTTCAGGTTTACAAAAAAAAATACGTATATATTCACCATCCTTCCGACTCTGCTTTAGAAATTCGGTTACCGTATCCAACCTAATCCGATTGGCCAATCTTGTGATGAATTCAGATTACAATGAGAAGGCGGAGAATACCTTGAGGTCATTCACCAAGTTACTAGAGAAATATCCTTACTCCATTCCAACAATGGTGGCTGCATTAATGATGAATTTGAAAGGAACGAAGCAAGTAAGTCTGGCGATTCATATCCCATTGACGATGCTATGTATACGGCACTTCAAACTTATTACCTTCAATGTGAATCATAGATGGTTCTTGTCGGTCCATTGCAGGATGCATCAATCAAACAATTCGATCAAAAGGTTAAATCCCACTTCATTCCCAATCGTGTAATAATGCATGCCACACCCGAATCCGAACTCTTATCTACGCGTAATGACGTAGTAGGCAGTATTCTCCAATCTGCTGCCAAGAATGAACCCGCGCCTGCAATACACATCTGTGAAAATTTCACTTGTGGTATGCCTATCACCAGTGTTGATGGGCTAGCAAAGAAACTGGAGCAATAGTGGATAAATCGGAAATCAGGAAAAAGAAGCTTACGAATTCTTGCATAGCGATAGTAATACGTATTTATCAGTCAATAGCTTGGGATTTAGTGTATAAATTTTCTTGTGCTTAAAGTTGCGCGTATCAGTATATCGGAAAAACAATAGATTCAAATAGGTTTGCTTGCGAGATTTTGAATTATTAAATTGATTTTACTGACATATTAGTGTGTTTGTAACAGTAATCGTCATGGAACAACTACCTTCGAAGTTCAATTACGCTTGTCGAATCAGCAGCATTCTATGCTCAACTCCATGTTGGACCAATGGCTATCTTTTCGTAAAAACTTTCAGTTTAAAATAATAATAACGGAATAAATTTATTTTAGCACAAAAATGCTCATTACAAATTGTTTGGTCGCATGTTCAATATTATAAGCATATCGTAATTTAATTGGAAGAGGAATAAATATTTGAATAAACACGTGCAAGATATATTAATATAGCTTAAGCAGATCTCTAGTAGGTAAGCGCTCACGTAATAAAGGTTATGGTAACAGCATTCCAAAGACTACCAGGTCTAGTGTGACTCCGCAAACATATGATCCTGAACTACTAAATACAAAGTCAAATTAAATATCACGCTAATTAAGTAATCAAAGATTGCTTACTCAGAAATTAATAATTCCGTTGTTTCACTGGAATATTGTATATTCATAAATCTGTCCAATAAATAATGCATGTACAGTCCCCGGCGAAAAGAATGGCGGCTAGTATTTTTTTTTAATATGTCAATTTTGTTCTTATTATTTTTTAAAAAAAATTTATTTAACAGAAGTTCAAGACTAATATTATAACTTGCAAAAAAACCAAGATGAAAAGTGGCTTTATTTTAGATCT